GAGGAGACACCAATACAATAGGAAAGACAACAGCAGGAATTGAGGAGACACCAATGCAAAAGGAAAGACAACAGCAGGAATTGAGGAGACACCAATACAATAGGAAAGACAACATCAGGATTTGAGGAGAAACCAATACAATTAGATAGACAACAGCAGGAATTGAGGAGACACCAATACAATAGGAAAGACAACAGCAGGAATTGAAGAGACACCAATGCAAAAGGAAAGACAACAGCAGGAATTAAGGAGACACCAATACAATAGGAAAAACAACAGCAGGAATTGAGGAGACACCCATACAATAGGAAAGACAACAGCAGGAATTGAGGAGACACCAATACAATAGGAAAGACAACAGCAGGATTTGAGGAGAAACCAATACAATTGGATAGACAACAGCAGGAATTGAGGAGACACCAATACAATAGGAAAGACAACAGCAGGTATTGAGAAGACACCAATACAATAGGAAAGACAACAGCAGGAATTAAGGAGACACCAATACAATAGGAAAAACAACAGCAGGTATTGAGAAGACACCAATACAATAGGAAAGACAACAGCAGGTATTGAGAAGACACCAATACAATAGGAAGGACAACAGCAGGAATTAAGGAGACACCAATACAATAGGAAAAACAACAGCAGGAATTGAGGAGACACCAATACAATAGGAAAGACAACAGCAGGAATTATGGAGAAGCCAATAAAATAGGAAAGACAACAGCAGGAATTGAGGAGACACCAATACAATAGGGAGGACAACAGCAGGAATTGAGGAGACACCAATACAATAGGAGAGACAACAGCAGGAATTGAGGAGACACCAATACAATAGGGAGGACAACAGCAGGATTTGAGGAGACAACAATACAATAGGAAAGACAACAGCAGGAATTGAAGAGACACCAATACAATAGGAAAGACAACAGCAGGAATTGAGGAGATACCAATACAATAGGAAAGACAACAGCAGGAATTGAGGAGATACCAATACAATAGGAAAAACAACAATACATACTGAGGAGACACCAAAACAGAAGAAAAGCCAATAACAGGAAGTGAAGAGACACCGAAACATAACGGAACAAAAGAGACAAAATACTTGTTTGGTTAGCCTTATCTTCAATGTACGTTTATTGTCATACCTCGGTGAATACAAAAATAGAAATAGTTTCAATGCTTGAATAGGTATTTTAGTGACTAAAGAGTCACCCTCTGACAGACTTTATGTATTTTTGCCCTCCTAGTACATGCTCTGATGTCGTCTAGGACAACTGACTTAGTTCTTGTTCCAACGTCATCTGAAAACACAACGGGATGTGTCAGCGAAGACAAATAACATATATTAATCGGATTATTATGTAAAGCCGGTATGACGGATTCACATTTGTAAGCTCCGTCTTTTCACGTTAAACCTATTACTGTTTTATTACCAATGGTTTTTAATGTTCAACAAGCTCCCTAAAAGACGTAATAGTCACCCTAAATTTCAACCCCCTGGTAAGTCTTATTCTGAGACCCTTATTGAAATTCCAAATATATGTATATGTAATTGAAACATTAAACTTTATATTAGCTATTAAAAAGAACATAACCAGGTTCACTTAATCAATATTAAAGCATTAAGGCTGATGTCTTCACAAAGATAGCTCACCGGACTTATAACATGTCAATTTCTTCAGTGACCCAATTGAAAGCCACGAAATGAAATATAATTTAAAGTTCATTTATATACTAAGATCGACGATGTTAACATGGCTATGTATTTTGTAACAGTAAATAAATTGAAATTACATCTATAAGTTCCGTTTTTAAATTGTGGTCTTTGAATATAACTTATCAGGGGTTGAACGTTAGGGTGACTACAGTATCTATTAGGGAGCTTGTTGAACCTTAACATAATCCAGCTCCATCAGGTTCTATGGTATCAGTCAATACGACATCACGCTAATCGGTAGTCAAAGGACCAAGCTAATCTTTAGTGCATTTTACCAGAGGATGGTATAAAAGCCTCTATTTGTAAAATAGTGACATTGTGACTCTTTCCCGTAAATAGTTTCCAATTCACTATGATCATGTAAGCTTTTGATTGTAGAATATACAGAACTTTTTATCAATGTAACCTTCGACAGGATAACAATGTTTATATTCAAATACAGTGGAACAAAAATAGATGATCGGCTCACCTCCAAACTCTATCGTATACGTAGCTTTTATATTTTCAAGATCTTAAATTTCATTTCCTGGGAAGAAACACAACAGTTATGCCGTTTGTATGGGTTCAAGGTGCATTCCCTATTGTTTTGGTATATCAATGGTTCTGATGTAATTTTTTCGTGTCGGCTTCGGGTTCGGATTATATGTCTATGTGTATTGTCTGTCTTTGTGTATAGTCTGTCTTTGTGTATAGTCTGTCTATGTGTATTGTCTGTCTTTGTGTATTGTCTGTCTTTGTGTATTGTATGTCTTTGTGTATTGTCTGTCTTTGTGTATTGTATGTCTCTGTGTATTGTCTGACTTTGTGTATAGTCTGTATTTGTGTATTGTCTGTCTTTGTGTATAGTCTGTATTTGTGTATTGTCTGTCTTTGTGTATTGTCTGTCTTTGTGTATAGTCTGTCTATGTGTATTGTCTGTATTTATGTATTGTCTGTCTTTGTGAATTGTCTGTCTCTGTGTATAGTCTGTCTATGTGTATTGTCTGTCTATGTGTATTGTCTGACTTTGTGTATTGTCTGTCTTTGTGTATAGTCTGTCTATGTGTATTGTCTGTATTTATGTATTGTCTGTCTTTGTGTATTGTCTGTCTCTGTGTATAGTCTGTCTATGTGTATTGTCTGTCTATGTGTATTGTCTGTCTTTGTGTATTGTCTGTCTTTGTGTATAGTCTGTCTATGTGTATTGTCTGTATTTATGTATTGTCTGTCTTTGTGAATTGTCTGTCTCTGTGTATAGTCTGTCTATGTGTATTGTCTGTCTATGTGTATTGTCTGACTTTGTGTATTGTCTGTCTTTGTGTATAGTCTGTCTATGTGTATTGTCTGTATTTATGTATTGTCTGTCTTTGTGTATTGTCTGTCTCTGTGTATAGTCTGTATTTGTGTATAGTCTGTCTATGTGTATTGTCTGTCTATGTGTATTGTCTGTCTCTGTGTATTGTCTGTCTTTGTGTATAGTCTGTATTTGTGTATAGTCTGTCTATGTGTATTGTCTGTATTTATGTATTGTTTGTCTTTGTGTATTGTCTGTCTCTGTGTATAGTCTGTCTTTGTGTATAGTCTGTCTATGTGTATTGTCTGTATATGTGTATTGTCTGTATTTATGTATTGTCTGTCTTTGTGTATTGTCTGACTTTGTGTATTGTCTGTCTATGCGTATTGTCTGTCTATGTGTATTGTCTATATATGTGTATTGTCTGTATTTATGTATTGTCTGTTTTTGTGTTTTGTCTGTCTCTGTGTATAGTCTGTATTTGTGTATTGTATTATGTATTGTCTGTCTTTGTGAATTGTCTGTCTCTGTGTATAGTCTGAATTTGTGTATAGTCTGTATTTGTGTGTAGTCTCTCTATGTGTATTGTCTGTAGTTATGTATTGTCTGTCTTTGTGTATTGTCTGTATATGTGTATTGTCTGTCTTTGTGGATAGTCTGTCTTTGTGTATTGTCTGTCTTTGTGTATAGTCTGTCTATGCGTATTGTCTGTCTTTGTGTATAGTCTGTATTTGTGTATAGTCTGTCTATGTGTATTGTCTGACTTTGTGTATAGTCTGTATTTGTGTATAGTCTCTCTATGTGTATTGTCTGTATTTATGTATTGTCTGTCTTTGT